GCCGGAGGCGGCACAAAGCCCCTGCTCCTGTTGGCATTGTTGTTGCTGAACCGAAGAACATTGCTGCGGCGATAGAAGAGTGGTGCGCCGGCTGTGTACCGGCCATGGAAATCGCGACCCGATTTGGCAGAATAAGGGGGGGGGGTCCGGAATACTGTTCCATCGGAACCTCCGCTAATCCGGCCATCCTGTAGTTGATACAGTGACTCGGTCTCTCCAGTTGAAGATTCGTCATTAGAACAGTCAACGATTTCCGCATTAGATGTCGGTCCATCCTAATATTCCGCTCCATGGATGACACCTACGAAAACATGCCTTGCTGCAGGCTGAACCGGGGCATGGCTTACACGCTGAGCCATCTTGATGATGTTGGTGCAGGTGTCCGGCTCAGGGCCTGGTTCGCCGATCTTGCCGATGAAGACGTGAATCCCACCAAAGGGGACCCGCTACCCGTATTCAATTGAACCGGCCTCGGGACCCCACCCTGCGTCATCGATGTAGAGCTTGTCGCGACGACTCTTCGTCATCCGGCCCACAGTGTATCCCTTGAGTCCTTCGAAGCTGCCCTTCAAGAACTCGAAACCATCATGCGATAGCCCCACGATGGGCGCCAACTGTCGTGGTTTTGTCACGGCAGATGTCCTCGTGAAAGGACTTAGTCGTGGAGCCATCACTACGGGTTAGCTTAAAGGGGTTAAACCGGATAAGGGACACGGGGGTTTTTTATACTAGTTCGGCCCCTTCGATGAAGGTAAAGTCCTATGTCTAGTTGTGTTGGTATTGCTAGGGTTTCGATGACCAGGGAGCAAATCCGCTTTGCCCGGCTCTCGAGTTGTTGTGTGTTGTTCCTAAACCGCTGCCGGGTCGTCCCTTTATATAGATAGGTTGACGCCCGTCGGTTTACAGAGTCCCGAGGCCGGATCATAAACGTGTCCGGCTCGGTCTCTATCCTTCCTATTTTACAATGCAAGTTACATGAGAAAGTCAGTTTACATCTACAGGCCTTAACTCGCCTTTGGGCCTTGGGCCTTCGTAAAGCGCCACCATCCTTACGTCTTCATGGGCTTCTAATCTTCATGGAGTTAATCTGGCTACTCTTGGTCAGTTTCCGTCCAGTAGTAATATCCCCAACAAATTCCATCGTAGGCTTGCTGGACGGTGATGGCTTGAATGAGATTTATCATGTAATCGAGTTAGTTTGTTAGGTTTGATCCCTAGTATCCAGTATGTTCTGAGATTGATGTTGCTATGACTTTGTATGCTTAATGCTTGTCACTAGGGCTCGAGTGCCATGATTTCAGATCTGAACCTATTATGTTTTCATCAATATATGAGAGTTCTTGATCCTATCTTGCAAGTCTATAGTCACCTATTATGTGTTATGATCCGTTAACCCCGAAGTGACAATAATCGGGATACTTACCGGTGATGACCATAGTTTGAGGAGTTCATGTATTCACTATGTGTTAATGCTTTGTTCTGGTACTCTATTAAAAGGAGGCCTTAATATCCCTTAGTTTCCAATAGGACCCCGCTGCCACGGGAGGGTAGGACAAAAGATGTCATGCAAGTTCTTTTCCATAAGCACGTATGACTATATTCGGAATACATGCCTACATTACATTGATGAACTGGAGCTAGTTTTGTGTCACCCTAGGTTACGACTGTTACATGATCGATCGCATCCGGCATAATTCTCTATCACCGATCCATTGCTTATGAGTTTTCCATGTATTGTTCTTCTCTTATTTACTTTTCCGTTGCTATTGTTATCATCACTACAAAATACCAAAAATATTACTTTTGCTGCCGTTACTTTTGCTACCGTTGCCACTACTATTATATTACTTTGCTACTAAACACTTTGCTGCAGATATTAAGTTTCCAGGTGTGGTTGAATTGACAACTCAGCTGCTAATACTTGAGAATATTCTTTGGCTCCCCTTGTGTCGAATCAATAAATTTGGTTTGAATACTCTACCCTCGAAAACTGTTACGATCCCCTAAACTTGTGGGTTATCAATGCTTAAGTCCGTCCGAATCATGTTAGCAATTGCCGCATTTTATGATTATGAAATTTAGCAAATGGATGTCAAAACTGCATTCCTTAATGGATATCTTAAAGAAGAGTTGTATATGATGCAACCAAAAGGTTTTGTCGATCCAAAAGGTGCTAACAAAGTGTGCCAGCTCCAGCGATCCATTTATGGACTGGTGCAAGCCTCTCGGAGTTGGAACATACGCTCTGATAGTGTGATCAAAGCATATGGTTTTATACAGACTTTTGGAGAAGCATGTATTTACAAGAAAGTGAGTGGGAGCTCCGTAGCATTTCTGATATTATATGTAGATGACATATTGTTGATCAGAAATGATACTGAATTTCTGAATAGTATAAAAGGATACTTGAATAAGAATTTTTCAATGAAAGACCTCGGTGAAGCTGCTTATATATTGGACATCAAGATCTATAGAGATAGATCAAGACGCTTAATTGGACTTTCACAAAGCACATACCTTGATAAAGTTTTGAAGAAGTTCAAAATGGATCAGGCAAAGAAAGGGTTCTTGCCTGTATTACAAGGTGTGAAGTTGAGTCAGACTCAATGCCCAACCACTGCAGAAGATAGAGAGAAAATGAAAGGTGTTCCCTATGCTTCAGCCATAGGCTCTATCATGTATGCAATATTGTGTACCAGACCTGATGTGTGCCTTGCTATCAGTTTAGCAGGGAGGTACCAAAGTGATCCAGGAGTGGATCACTGGACAGCAGTCAAGAATGTCCTGAAATACCTGAAAAGGACAAAGGATATGTTTCTCGTATATTGAGGTGATAAAGAACTCGTCGTAAACGGTTATGTCGATGCAAGCTTTGACACTGATCCGGATGACTCTAAGTCACAAACCGGATACGTGTTTTTATTAAATGGTGGAGTTGTCAGTTGGTGCAGTTCCAAGCAGAGCGTCATGGCGGGATCTACGTGTGAAGCGGAATACATAGCTGCTTCGGAAGCAACAAATGAAGGAGTCTGGATGAAGGAGTTCATATCCGATCTAGGTGTCATACCTAGTGCATCGGGTCCAATGAAAATCTTTTGTGACAATACTGGTGCAATTGCCTTGGCAAAGGAATCCAGATTTCACAAGAGAACCAAGCACATCAAGAGATGCTTCAATTCCATTCGCGATCAAGTCAAGGAGGGAGACATAGAGATTTGCAAGATACATACGGATCTGAATGTTGCAGACCCATTGACTAAGCCTCTCTCACGAGCAAAACATGATCAGCACTAAGACTCCATGGGTGTTAGAATCATTACAATGTAATCCAGATTATTGACTCTAGTGCAAGTGGGAGACTGAAGGAAATATGCCCTAGAGGCAATAATAAAGTTGTTATTTATATTTCCTTATATCATGATAAATGTTTATTATTCATGCTAGAATTGTATTAACCGGAAACTTAGTACATGTGTGAATACATAGACCAACAGAGTGTCACTAGTTTGCCTCTACTTGACTAGCTCGTTGAATCAATGATGGTTATGTTTCCTAACCATAGACATGAGTTGTCATTTGATTAACGGGATCACATCATTAGAGAATGATGTGATTGACTTGACCCATCCGTTAGCTTAGCACGATGATCGTTTAGTTTGTTGCTATTGCTTTCTCCATAACTTATACATGTTCCTATGACTATGAGATCATGCAACTCCCGGATATCAGAGGAACACTTTGTGTGCTACCAAACATCACAACGTAACTGGGTGATTATAAAGGTGCTCTACAGGTGTCTCTGATGGTGTTTGTTGAGTTGGCATAGATCGAGATTAGCATTTGTCACTCCGATTGTCGGAGAGGTAGCTCTGGGCCCTCTCGGTAATGTACATCACTATAAGCCTTGCAAGCAATGTAGCTAATGAGTTAGTTACGGGATGTAGCATTATGGAACGAGTAAAGAGACTTGCCGGTAACGAGATTGAACTAGGTATTGAGATACCGATGATCAAATCTCGGGCAAGTAGCATACCGATGACAAAGGGAACAACGTATATCGTTATGCGGTTTGACCTATAAAGATCTTCATAGAATATGTAGGAACCAATATGAGCATCCAGGTTCCGCTATTGGTTATTGACCGGAGACGTGTCTCGGTCATGTCTACATAGTTTTTGAACCCGTAGGGTCCGCACGCTTAACGTTCGGTGACGATCATATTATGAGTTTATGTGTTTTGATGTACCAAAGGTAGTTCGGAGTACGGGGTATGATCACGGACATGACGAGGAGTCTCGAAATGGTTGAGACATAAAGATCGATATATTGGACGACTATATTTGGACATCGGAATGGTTCCAGATGAGATCGGGCATTTACCGATGTATCGGGATGTTACCGGAACTCCCCGGAAGGTATATGGGCCTTATTGGGCCATAGTGGGAGAGAGGAGAAGTGAGCAAAGGAGGGGGCGCAACCCCCCAAGCCCAATCCGAATTGTTCCTTCCTCCTTCCTCCCCCTTCCTTCTCTCCTAATCCAACTAGGGAAGGGGGAATCCTACTCCCAGTGGGAGTAGGACTCCCCTTGGGGCGCGCCTAGGAGGTCGCCCCCCTCCCCCTCCTCCACTCCTTTGTATACGGGGGAGGGGGCACCCCATAGACACCCCATAGACTCCCCTTCGGTTCTACGATCGGTCGATCACGAAGACGTATGACTACATCAACCGCGTTGTCATAACGCTTCTGCTTACGGTCTACGAGGGTACGTGGACACCACTCTTTCATCTCATTGCTATGCATCACCATGATCTTGCGTGTGCGTAGGAATTTTTTTAAAATTATTGCGTTCCCCAACAATCATATGGCTAGTTCACCTTCATAAGCACAAAGTATATTGAGCACAATATTAGATGTGACAGCCTGAGACCGACGCTCCAGATGCCTTCCATCTTTTTCATGATAGTCGTGTAAATTATTTGTTTGTTGCATTCATTATAGTATCATTCGCATTGCATGAACACTCTGTTGCCGTCATTTTTCAAAAAATCAGATCCATTCATAGTTGCCGGTTCTCCCTGTTGCCGTCGTTGAACGCTCTCAGACCATCCACACTTGCACGCGGCCGCTGCATTACCTATTAATCATTTTACAAGTGGGAATAAACGTTATTAAAATAGGTTAAAAGTTGGCGCGCGGTCTCAATATAATGTAGGTAGACCGTCTATTAAATTTTATCGTATCCAGAGGTCGTTTGATACCCCAACCAATCTTTAAACTAAAACGACACTGTAGCCGGTCAAACCATTGGATGTTTTCGGTCTAAAAATCTTGTGCCTGACCGCTCGTTCTGCACGCTTATCTCGGCCTAAACCTATCTACACAGGCCACCTGACCACCTATACTAACCGCTTGACCGGAGATCGAACGGCTCGGAAACGACCTCAAATCGCCAAACCGCCCGAGCCGCCGCCGCTGCCGCGTCCACGCACAGGAGCTCGTCCCTGAGCTCGTCCGTTCCTCCCGAGCCATCACCAGCGGCTCCACTACCCCGCCTCCGTCCAGCCAAGTCCTCCTGCCGGCGATCCCGCGCCACCCGAGCCCAGGCCAGCCTTGCGCCGCCATGCCCTTCTCCCTTCTCTTCCTCCCTGACTCTCCCGTCTCTGTCTAATTCCTCTCTCACGCAACAGCTTCTGCCGTCGATCATGGCGCCGCCGCTGTCGATTTTCTCCGTCCAGCGATCTCCGAGTGACGCCACTGCCCAGATCCGAACCCCCATGTTCGGATCCATCCATCCTCGCCGTCCTCTGGCCTCCCGCAGTCCTCTACCCAGCGCCGCATCGCTGCAACCTTCAACCAGGACCCATGGCCATGAGCCCTTCAAGCACCGGCACGACACATGATCTGGACCGTCATGTTGCCCCGCTGCCGAACTCAATCATATACATGCCTTCTCGCTGGAATCCCTCCCGCATCGCCTTCTTCGCCGGAGTTCGCCAAGTCCCGCTGCCGCCGGCGTCCTGTGCATCGAAGTCGCTGCCTCAGCTCAGCGAGCGCCTCTACCCGTGTCTCGCTCCCGTTGACCGCGCCTCCTCGCGCGGGCCGTGGTCCCCCCCAAGGCCTAGCCTCCTGTGCCCTTCGGCCCACAATTCGACAGCCGAGCGCCTCAGCCAGCCGGCCCAGTCTGCCGCTCCGCAGCGCGCCAGGCCAGCTTCGCCGCCCCACCGAGCCGGCCTGTTAGACTGGGAGCTTCTAACCGGCGCTCTCAGCGCGGGTTTTGATTACTGGCGCTCGATGGTGGTGGTACATGGGCCAGCCCAGCAACACTGTTCGCTCGCTCACAGGCAGCGCAAGAAAAATAACACAATAAGTAGCGATCTGGTGGATTGAACTCGTGCCGCGAGTACAACGATCGAGCACGGCTAGCCACCACGCCAACTAGGTACTGGCGACTAATTACAGGACAAACAATTTAAGAGCAGAGTTATATCGTTTACTGGTTTCTCAAAAAAAAAAGGTATATCATTTACTGTAGCACTTTGATTCTTGAATTATTTCAAAACATTTTTGGAAAATGTGTTTTTCAAAGTAAACAAAAAAATTAAGTTCACATATTAAAAACACTCGCATATTAAAATAAAAAGAACAAATACGAAAAAGTTAATGTATTCAAAAAAGTTCACAAATACAAAAAGTCATTAAAAATTAAAAAGTACACTAATTTGGGAAACAGTTCATGAATTTGAAAAGGAGCTCATCGTTTTTCAAAAATGTTCACGAACTTTTCTGGAAAAAAATATCGGTGGTCGAATTTGAAAACAAAATAATGAAAAAAGTTCATCAAAAATGAAAAAGTTCATTGAGTTACAAAAAAGTTCATTTATTTTGAAAAAAGTTCATCAAATTTGAAAAACAGTTCATCCACTTCGAAAAAAGTTCATTGAGTTTGAAAAAAGTTCATCGACTTTGAAAAAAGTTCATCAAATTTGGACAATAGTTCATCAACTTCGAAAAAAGTTCATTGAGTTTGAAAAAAGTTCATCGAGTTACAAAAAAGTTCATCGACTTTGAAAAAAGTTCATCAAATTTGAACAATAGTTCATCAACTTTGAAAAAAGTTCATCAAGTTTGAAAAAAGTTCATTGAATTTGAAAAAAGTTCACTAAATTTGCAAAAAGTTCATCAAATATTATAAAATACGTTCACACATTTTTGAAAACAAGAAAAAAAAATTCAACACTTTTGAAAAATAGTTCATGAATTTTAATAAATATTCACGCATTTAGTTAAAAGAAAAAAGAACCAAACAAAAGCTGTTCCGAGAAAAAAAAGAAAACAAAGAGAACTATTGCTAGAAAAAAGGAAAAGGAAAGAACAAATGAAGTAAAAAGCAGTTACAAAACACATGTGGCGGGGGTGGCCAGTTGGTTGACCTTAGTGTACTCTCAGTTTTTGCGTTTTAACAGAGCGTTTTAAGAGAAAAAAAGACAAAGTAGAACGGGCCGGCCCAGCGAGGCGGAGGGGTGTGCGCCCGTTTGCGAAACCTGAAGAAACGAGCGCAGCGGGCGCCGTTTAGGATTTGCCTGTTAGGCCTTTGGTGAGCGCTGCCTCACTATCCATCGCCCCTGAGCGCTCTATTATATGTTGCGCATGTTTCTGTTTGGCCCAGTAGTGCACCAGATTCAGCCCGTAGATGTTTTTTTAGATCTCGGCGAATTTCTCTATTGTCCAGTGCATTGCATAATTACAGAAAAATGTGACTGTTTTAAAATGCTCACAACTAAATAACCGTGCATCGTAATAAAACATGTCATATATGAAACTTGGGTAGAATTTCATGTAGTTCCACGATATCTAACTTTCATCCATGTTAAAAATGTTTAAAATTGTTGTTTGCATGAATTTGCATAAATGACATGCTAAAATTGTTTATTTCATAACTAATTAACTGTAGCTCTGAATTAAATAATCTATATATGTAAATCGACTAGAAAAATGTGTAGATTAACATGGTGCACATTACTTTGTTATTTAACAACTTTAACATTGTGTTTTAGACAGAATAGTACCAATTTCGAAAATTGCATATGGGTTTTTTTCGGAATCGTTATGTGTTATTTCTGGCCTCATTTAATCTTGCCTAGATGGGTAGTTGCATTATGCTTCACATCTTGCCATTTTAAACAACATTTAATCTTGTCATGTACATAAATGGAAGTGAACGAAATAATTTAATGTGGAGTTTGTCAATATGCAACTCGTTGCATATTGAGCTTCATCTCATGTGTAGTGATTGTTTGTGCATTTTTCCATGTCATGCCTATTTAAATCGGACATGCATCATACTTGATTTTGCATCATTCCATACTTATGCTTATGTGTTTACCGTGTTGTTTGCTTCTTTCTGGTTGTGCTTTTTCTCGATAGTTCTGATATCGTTGCGAGTGTGAGGATTCATTCGTCTATGTTGGTTCGTCTACTCTATGGATTCGTTCTTCTTCCAAGTGGGATTTCAGGCAAGATGATCATTATCTTGGCTATCACTACTATCTTTGTTTGCTGGTTGTCTCGATGCTATAGCTATGTCACGCTACCTACCACTTGTTTGTCCGCCTTCCAATGTGCCATGATAAGCCTCTAACTCCCACCTTCCTAGAAAACCGTTGTTCGGTTATGTTACCGCTTTGATTAGCCCCTCTTATAGCGTTGCTAGTTGCAGATTGTTCCATATTGGGACATGGATATCATGGGATATCAAAATATCTCTTATTTAATTAATGCATCTATATACTTGGTTGTGTGTGGAAGGCTCGACCTTTTGCCTGGTGTTTTGTTCCACTCATGCCGCCCTAGTTTCCGTCATACCGGCGTTATGTTCCTTAGTAGCGTTCCTAACACGATTGGGGTTTATGAGCCCCTCTAGACAGTTCATTTTGAATTAAACTCTTCCAGCAAGACCCAATTTGGTTTTAAATTTGCCTAATAACAACTAAAACTTGCATAGAGACTTGTCGGCTCCTGTGGATAATTAATCAATGACCCGGGCCAATGCTCCTTATGAGTGTTGGTTCAAAACAAAGCACCTTGTGGCACCCCCTTGGAAACTTGGGTCTCAGTTAACTGTAAGCTTCGTTTATCCGTGGTGTCCTGAGAACGAGATACGCGACTCCTATCGGGACCATCGACACATCGGGAGGTCTTGCTGGTTTTCTTTTACCATTGTCGAAATTTCTTGTGCATCGAGATTCCTAGGATACTTCGAGCTATCTCGAGGTTGAGGTCTTTCCAACGCTGTTCGTGAGAGTTTGTGATGGACTAAGTTGGGACACCCCTGCAGGGTTATATCCTCCAGAAAGTCGTGCCCGTAGTTATGTGGTGACTTGAGAATTTATAATATCCGGTTGTAGAGAACTTGACACTAAATTCAAATAAAATACACCAACCGCGTGCATAACTGTGATCGTCTATTTTTGAGGGAGTTCGGGAAGAGAACATTGTGGGGTTATGTTTGGCTTGTAAGCGGGTGTTCAGGATCACTTCTTGATCATTACTAGTTCATGTCCATTATGCGTAGTTTAATCTTCTTACTCTTGTACTCATAAGTTAGCCACATAAAAGTGCTTAGTGCTTGCTGCAACCTCATCACTTAACCATTTCATACCCATTAAGCTTTGCTAGTTTTGATAGCCATGGTATTGAGATTGCCGAGTCCTCGTGGCTCACAAATTACTACAACAACAGATGCATATACAGATAAAGCGATGCTTTGACGTGAGAGCGATGCATGTTTTCTTTTGGAGTTCTTCTTATGCTGCTTCTCCCTCTTCTTCTTACTCTTCTTCATCTTCGTTGTCGTCGATCATAGGATGGTTTCCCTGTTGTCAGCCTGCGACTAGCATGGTGCACTACAAAAAAGGACACATCTGAGACATTATGGGCCGAACGAATTTTTTCTATCATGCTTATGACACTTCTATGACGATAATTGTGATAAAAACATGTATCATCATAGATGTGGTGGGCTCCTACATCTATGACAAAAAATCATGACAGAAAATTGTCTTTTCATCCTGGGCGGGTCGGATATGCATCTGCATGACATGCTTTGGGTCGTCCATGACGAAAAAATCATGGTAGAAGCGAAGGCGAGGAAAATATTGGGGAGTTACCGGTTACGGTGGGTGGTCGGGGCCGAGCAATGCGTTGTGGTTTGCGCGTTTCTCTCTTGTACGCATGTGTGTGCGAGGCATTGGCTCTAACTGAACCCTAGTGACCGCACTAGCTATGTTACTGAACCTGAGTGATCGATCGATCTCTTGGCTGTTAGTGAACCTGAGCAATTCATTCACTGCTGCTGCTGACTGCACCGAAGCGATTCCTTCGCTGCTGTTGCTAACTGAACCCGAGCAATTGATCATTGCTGCTGCTTACTGAAGCCGATTGAGCCCCCGTGCGAGGTGTAGCCAGCCGGTGTTGGGTTGCCTCTCGATGATCAGTGACCATTGCTACCATGCGCTGTATGTAGAACGAGTCGAGACGTGTGAGTCGAGCTGGTTGGTTGGCTGTGGATGAACAGTTCCCGATGGGGGTTGGATGAACAAGACCCCATGGCAGTAGGCCATTGCCACTAGATGAACAGGACCCTGAGGAGGCTGCCACACCCCAGCCAGTTGAGGGTGGATGAACAGGACCCTGTGGAGGCTCTACGAACAGTAGTTGGTGGAGGATGGATGAACATTAGCCTGTGGATGAACAGTGGCTGGTGGAGGCAGGAGGAAGATGCGGTGGATG